CTGGGGGAAGGAGTTGGTTGGCAGAAAGGGCTGGGAGTACTGGGAAGGGTTGGGTCGGTTGGTATGATTGCAAGAATTCCCTCAGCTGTGGGGAGAGAATACATTGGGATGCCCATTCTGGAATGGATGGAGGACATCACGGGGTATGGAAAATTGGATGTCATGTGGCTGCAGGATGGGGGCTATGTATGGTGCAGTATCTACAGGAGACTGACACCAACTTCACCCTCATGGCTCCTGTTCTGGGGGCCTGGCTTGGCTCAAGTTCTCTGAGCATTGTCACCTGATGCATGTTGGCCCATCCGTTGTCCTGTTGTCGTGACAGAGGGCAGGGTGGGTCAAATCGGTGACACTTCAGTACATCACAACATCCAGAGCTGAGCCCCACAACCCTTTGATACTCTCTAGAGACCCAATTTTTGGGTTACAACCAATGGGTGAGAAACCCTTGCTCTGGCAAAGAGTTTTTAATCTTGAGAGGTTAGACAGGTTAGTGGCTTAAACAAGTTAAATAGTTTTATCACTAAAGTTTGAATTTGCAGGTTTGCCTTTTTAATTAAGTTTATCTTCCTGACCCTGCCATTCAGTGCCTGCTGGATTGCTAGTCAAGAAATCAATTGGTTGTAATATTTCCTGAAGGAAAGCTGTATGACTAGTTCAGTAGCAGAGTATGTGGTTCCTTGAAAACTAGTGTGTAGAGTAAGAGTGAAACACCTGTAGTATCTTTGCTTTTTTATTAGACTGTCACTGGGACTGTGCGATAGTCTGTGGCTTCTAGTGGTATGCCAAACAACTCAAAACTCCCTGGCTGTGTCTACACTGGCGCTATCTTGCGCAAAAGCAGACGCTCTTGCGCAAAAACTTGCTGCCTGTCTACACTGGCCGCATTTCTTGCACAAGTAAACTGACGTTCTAATGTATGAAATCAGGGCTTCTTGTGCCAGAACTCTGACGCTCCCGCTCAGGAATAAGCCCTTTTGCGCAACTGTTCTTGCGCAAGAGGCCAGTGTAGACAGGCAACATGAATTTCTTGCGCAAGAAAGCCCTATGGTTAAAATGGCCATCAGAGCTTTCTTGCGCAAGAGAGCGTCTACACTGGCATGGATGCTCTTGTGCAAAAGCACATGCAAATGTAGACACTCTCTTCTGGAAGAGTTTTTGCAGAAGAACTCTTCTGCAAAAGAGTTTGTGTGAGAACATGCCAGTGTAGACGTAGCCCCTGTAACAGAACTATTGTTAAATCAACACTGCATCTCCCTCTCATCCCCCCTAAAAAAGCCCTTCTGTTTCTTGAGGGGGTTAAAACAGTTGCATGTTACATAGAGTGCTTGTATCCGCTAAATCCCATGAATTTAAAATAAGGGAAAAAACACTGGATTGGCACAGAATAGAAGTGAACCCAGTATGTGTGAATATTCTCTATGGTTGTCTCTTGATATTTGCCTATCTCTTTTCTGTAGCGTTGGCTGACTGAACAAAGAGCACAGTGCCCTCACTGTCGGTAAGATCTTTAATAAATTAGAAATAGATTATAATTCTGTGTTGTTAGCTTGTCTTTAAACATATCATGTGCATTCCAAGCTTCTGTTTTGAAGGTTCTTAATGTGATATGAAGCCTTACCCAAACTGGGAATCTTACAAAACAAAAAATAGTTCTTCAGCACCTTAGAAACTAACAAAACATGGTATCAAGAACTTTCGTGGGCACAACCCACTTCTTCAGATGAATGGAGTAAGGGGTCCAGAGTATATTCATCTTAAGTGGGTAGTGCCTTCAAAAGCTCATAACACCATCTACATGTTTTGTTAGTCTAAGGGCATGTCTACACTAAAGAGTTATTTCAAGATAACTCTTGTTGTTTCAGAACAAGGTGTTAATTTGAAATTATTTTGAAATAATGGACTTATTTCAAAATAATCTCATTCTATGAGGAATAACACCTATTTTGAAATTGCTATTTCAAAATAGGATTAGCATGAACGTTCAGCTGCTGCTATTTCAAAATAACTACTTCCCAGAGTAATTCAAAGTAATTACCCCCCAGTGCTTCTTAGCTCTAGGTCGAGATAGTGCATCCACATTAAGGGAGCCTGCCTCGGACTAATTTTGAGGCTTCCCTGTAGCGTGGATGTGCTATTTCGAAATAGTTATTTCAGGAGTTATTTCGAAATAACTTATTTTGAAATAACCTGGTAGAGTAGACATAGCCTAAGGTGCTTCAGGACTGTTTGTGTTTTTTTCAGTTACAGACAACCCCCTCTCAGACTTCTAAATTGGGCAAATAATTTTTTTAAATCTTAGGTTAATCCTGGCCATACTAAACCTTGTAAAATCTTGGTGATCCCCTTTTATGTTATTGAATCCAGTTAAAGCATATAACCACATCTCACAAGAAGTGGACAGGACTCTTTCACAACTAGTCAGTGTCACTCCTTAAATGGCCAGCACAGGGACCAAACTTTCCTTCTTTCCATAGATACATGAGACACACATGTCAAGGAATAGACATGTTGTGACATTGCCCAAAGAAGCAGCAGCATGCACATTCTTAAAGTTTGTGCCCCATAAGTACAGAGTTTGAAAAAATTCACTTCTCAAAGGCAAGTAAGACACTCTTCTTTGTGAGGTGCACGAGCAACCAATTTCTTCGGAATGAAAGCTATTTATATTAAAAAGCAAACAAACCAAGAACCTTAAAGTTTTACACCTGATAGTTTTGAAGTTTCAAAATGTGGACTATGCATTGTAGACAGACAGCTTTATTGCCTCTGATATTACAGATTGAACCTCCAAAATCCGGGACTTTCTGATCTGGCACTATCCAGCAGGACCACGGATGTTGCTGGATCAGAGAGCCCCGGAGCTCGGTAGTGTAAACCAGCTGGGAGCCTCATCCCCGGGGAGTCCCAGTCGGGCAAGGCAGCAGCAGAGCAGCCGGCAGCAACAACAGGGCAGCTGGCAAGCCCCGTCCCCGGGGATTCCTGGTTGGCCTGGGGAGAAGCAGGGCTACAGCGGCTGGGGGGTTCTGGCTCTGGGGAGCCCCAATGGACCAGAGCCCAAGTCCAAGCCCTGTAGGCTGGAGCCCAATGGCAATGGGGCTGGAGAGGGAGTGTCCTCTGAGGCTAGTGGCAAGAGACCTTCCCATATCCGACAAATTCCCTCATTCAGGATGGATCAGATCCTGAGGGTGCCAGGTAAGGGAGGTCCAACCTGTACTTATGTTTTTGTTAGAAGAGTGGAATAGACAAAGCCAATCAGTTTTATTGGGGTTCTTCAGAGCCTTGAAATCCTGAAACTGAGTTCTTGAATCTGGGGCTTACTTGCCTTTCTCTGCAGCATGGGAAAAAGGTCACTTCCAGGTTTATTTTTAGTGTAAATGGTGAATTGTTTGTAATATGAAGTCTTTAAATCATGATCTGAGAACTTCAGTAACTCAGCCAGAGGCTATGGTCTATTTCAGGAGTGGGTAAGATTATGTGGCTTGCAATGTTCGAGAGGCCATGCTAGATCATAACATACAGTCTGTGATAGAAAATATGACCTATGAGGAAAGATTGGAAGAACTGGGTTAGTTTAGTTTAGAAAAGAGAAGACTGAGAGGCATTAAGTTTTCAAGTACCTAAAGGTTGTTACAAGGAGGAGAGAGAGAAATTATTCTCAAGAAGCAATGGGCTTAAATTGTAGTAAGGGAGATTTAAGTCGGATATTAGGAAAAACTTCCTAACTGTCAGGGTGGTTAATTACAGGAGTAAATTGTGTAGGGAGGTTGTGGAATCTTCATCATTGGAGATTTTTGAAAGCATGTTAGACAAACATCTGTCAGGGATGCTCTGGCTGGTGCTTGGTCCTACCATGAGTGCAAGGGACTGGTCTTGACGACTGCTTGATGTTCTTTCCAGTCCTGTGATTCTAGGACTCTAACTTCAACTTTTTTTTGACAGAGCCCCACTACAGCTACGGGAACTTGTAAACTGTCGTTGGGCAGAAGAGGTTACTCAACAGCTTGACACACTTCAGCTATGCAATCTCAATAAGCACGAAGAAAATGAAAAAGACAAGTATGTAGAACAGATTCGTCTCAAATTTGAGGATTTTGTAGTTTGTCTCAAAGCAGCAAGTATTTAATTACACTCTTTTAAAATTAGGGAATGGATTGTAGTTCCTAAGTACTGAAAACTGAAGTGTGCTACCATGTAATAGAAGCAGTCAGTAAGTATGCTTCCTTTTATGCTGTCCAGCTGAAAGGTGGTAAGAACTTGGCAGCTGGTCTTTTTATTATTGTTATTTCTAGAAATGGTACCAGTTTCTCTAAGTAGCACTAAAAGCTAAATCTTTAAAGGTCTTTTCTGTTTGTTACCTTGAAAGTCAGACTTGGATTAGAACTGGCTTAATATACTTTAAGGGAAGGTTGAAGAGCGTGCCTTTCATATTCTTCATAGCAATTCTCAGTAACCATATGGCAGGAATGGCAATACATTTTTGATGGAGGGTCGCTCCAAGAATTTGGTAAGTGGACAAGGGATGCACTCTTCCATGATATTAATGGAGGAGGTGGAGGGTCCAGGATAGAGGCTAGGTACAGAATAGAGCTTGGGGTAAGAGACTGGGGTGTGGGAGGAAGTTTGGGTGAAAGAGGGGATTGTTTCCTGGGGCATGGGATTGGGGTGCAGGGTCTGGGAGGGAGGATGGATACAGGAGGTGGGGGCAGAGGGTTTGGGTTACATGTTGGGGGAGCAGAGGGTTGAAGGGAGGTAGGGGCTCAGACAGGCTCTAGCAGGAAGACACTTATTTGGGCAACTCTCAGCCAGCAGCCTAGCAGGTTCCCTGCGTTCCATACCCCAGCAGGCCACTCAGAGCAGCTCTGCTAGGCCATTTGTGTCTGTGAAGAGCTGCAAGCCTGAGGGGAGGGGTACTTCACATGCTGCCTGTTGGAAGAAACTGGCCAATGAGAGTTACACTGTTGTGCTGGGGGTGGGGGTAATCTGTAAAGCCTCTGTCCTGGGCTCACAGCTGTTCACAGACAAACAGGGCCCCGCAGCTGGCTTTTCTGAATCGTGTGCTGGGGTGGGGTAGGCAGATAGCCTGCCTGAGGCTCCTGCTGCATCTGTGAGCTGGATCCAGTGGCTTGGCGGGTTGGGTGTGGCCTGTGGGCCGTATTTTGCCCAAGCTTGCTACATGGGTACCTGTAGCCCAGTGGGGCTCAGGGCAGTGCTCCTCCGCCTTGGGGTCAGTGGGCAGCCACTCCGACCCACTCCCCTGACACACCATCCATAATAGAAAGTCCTTACATACCAGCCCTTATTCCGGGCAGAGCAACAATATACCCCAAGGACCGTTCTCAGGCCCAGCCCTACTTCAGGGAGGATCAGCTGGCACCTAGACAGTTAGTACAAGGCCCAGACCCTGGTTCTGGGTGGGAGGCAGGAAAAACAGTTTGTATGCCCAAGCTCTGGTGCAGGACAGGGCTGCAGGAAAGTGGTTTGTAAGTTCGAACCCTAGTTCAGGACGGGGCAGGAGGCAAACACACACCAGTAGTTCAAGGCCCGTTTGCAACAACCCCAGCCGGGTCCCCTTGCTCAAGCGAGGGTCCGGTCAATGCAGGCCGCTGCATGGGAATAGCTGGAGCGGAGGAGGGAGAACTGCCACTCAAGAGTGGCATGGCAGGGATGAAGCAGTCCCACCCACCCTACTGCATCCCAGCCCAGGGCTCTAGCAGCAGCAGCAGAGCAGTTGGCTGTGGGGATCTGTACCACAATGCACTGACCTTCTGGTAAACAGGGCAGCTATCCCTGGGCTGCTTCCATTGCCCTCCTCGGGCTGTACCTGGGTCCAGAGCAGATCATCTGGGCACAGTGGTTCAGAGTCCTCTGGCCATGTAAACAAACTCCCCGGCAGTTCTCCAATAATGGGCCTGGTGGCCCCAGCCAGTTCTCAGCTTCCCCAGAGTCCAGCTCCTCTCTTGGGAGTGTGGTAGAGGCTTCTGGCTTCCTTAGTCACTGGGGCTAGACTGGGCTCTCTGGTCGGCCTTTTATATTCCTGGTCCCACCTCCTGGCTTCCTGTAAGGTGGGTTGCTAGAGCCAGGTGCTGCCCACCAAAGCTCAGGGAGGGGCTTCTCCCCCTCGGAGGAGCCATTACTATACCAGATAATGAAAGCATAGGCAACATTGTACAGATTTCTCTGCTGATGCATTCAGAAACCTAAAAGGACACCTGAATGTGCTAGTGCATAAGCCTGGACATGTCTTAATGTGTTTATTTCCAGTATGATATTTGATCTAAGGCATGCATGGTCCAAAATCTGTCCATGTAGGATTTGCAGTGATATGGATAACAAAGATTTGTCATGTACTGTGCAATTTAACTGTCACTGAAAGTGTCCTTTCTCCTTGGATTTCATATAGTAAAGAAAGAATCAATTACTTAGATCTGCCAATACTTGGATAGCATAAAGAATTCAGGGTTAATATCACAGTAAAAAAGCGACCCTTTGGATAAATGCAATTTGTAGTATTTCTTATTACTGGTTTGTGCAGTTTATTTCATTGCTAATCAGTAAAGCTCATTGGTAGAGTATTGAGAGTTAATGTAAGGAATGCAGAGGGAGAGGGGAATACAGTAGGAAATAAGGGAGGACATACAAAGATGGGAAGGGTGATAGGAAAAAAAGGGCAGGAATAGCAGTTTAGCCCCTCTCCCCCAAATGAGATGACTTTCCCATTGAGTAATGGTGAATAAGTCAATCAGATAATTCATGATTATAACAAAGTTACAAGTAGTTCTTCAAGTCTTCGTCAGTGTGGATTCTGTTCAAGATGCACGGTGCTTCGTGTATACAGGCAGTCCCCGGGTTACGTACAAGATAGGGACTGTAGGTTTATTCTTAAGTTGAATTTGTATGTAAGTCAGAACTGGTACATATTGTAGAGGAAACTCTAGCCAAACATTTCTCCAGAGCTCAGTTTTATTCTCCCACACCTCACTTCCCTCAGTCCTTTATTCTCAAGCTGAGGTGTCGGCTGAGAAAAGCCGCTCCGCGTCTCCCTGGTCTGCTGGGGGGAAGCAGCTAGTGCGGGGTTGCCTCACCCCGTTTGTAAGTAGGGATCCGATGTAAGTCGGATCCATGTAACCCGGGGACTGCCTGTATTGAGTGCAGACCACACTGAGAAACTGTCTTAAAAATCACAGTTACTATAAGGTAAGTAACTGTTCTGAACTGCATAAAGATACTAGTATGGCCTTGATCTTTGTGCAAAGTTCTCAATGACCTCGTTCAAAGATCTGCTGTGATGGTGCTTTATTAGCTTGCTCACAGACTGAGGTTTTGGTGTAGTGATTAAACTATTTTTAAACCCATTGCCAATTGTTCAAAAATCAGCCATTTTCATGAACAAAGGTACAGGAAAAAGAAAAAAATGGAGTGATGAAAATGATAGCATTAATTGAAGCCACAACTAAAGACTAGTATAAAGCAACACTTCCAATGTTACATTTCCTAGAATTATCTGATGGTCAAATGTATTCATACCAAGACATTGAAATACTTTTTGTGTTTGTTCATTGTAGTTTCTGTATACTCCTCCAATAAAGGTCGTGACTTAAAAAAACAAAACAAAAACAAAAAACAAAGAATTGATTTGAATGTATTTATCTTGCCAGAGTCCTGGAGACAGTATTATATCTAGCTTCACCCTTATTGTAGAAGACTGGGACTTCTTACGATACTGAATATAGAAAGCCGATTCACGTGGCCATATATAGGAAAGAGATATCACACTGTTATTTGGGAGTTCCTGACCAGTGTGTAATATCCTCTGGGTCTGGTACTGATAGAAACTTGACAGTAAAGAAAGGCCACTGAGGCTCAAGTCTAATTGGAACATTGAGATATCAAGGTGCTCACTCTTGGACCCATATTACTAAGCAGAGCTGAGAATCTTGTGTTTAAATAAACTAGTAATTTGCCATTTGCTTTGAGAGTAGGTCCTGTTTACATATTAGCTTTCTTCTAGTTAAAATATTGATACATAGATGCCACTTGAGCACTTAGATAACACATTGATAAACATCTCAGAATATTTTAGGTTTACAAAACCTTTCTGAGTTCCTAGATTATTGGAGTTTCAATCATTTGAGATTTTTAGCTTCTAGAATCAGTGAATTCAAAGCCTGGTTTGTTGGTATACAGTGCAGGTAAGATGATGCTTAAAAATTGTTTCCAGAATGCACTCTCTCACCTCCAGGAGAAGCTTCCTGGAACGATATTAAACGTGAGTCAAAATAAAACTATGAGAACTATCTTAGACTTCACTGATAAGTGTTGTACATTTGACTGACTGAGGAGGCACTCTTCAGTCATTTTTACAATTCAAAAAGAATATATCTATTTAATTTTGCTCTTGGCCATTGGGAAACCATTGGTAATGCCTCAGTTTTGTGCTTTAGTATCAAAATTATATCAACAAAATAAATCAAGCTGCTGAATCTTTTGCACACTTCATGCACCACTATGTAATTTCCCATAATTTGTTTTTAAGGTGCGAAAACCATCATGAAAAACTCAGTGTATTCTGCTGGACATGTAAGAAATGTATCTGCCACCAGTGTGCTCTCTGGGGAGGAATGGTGAGTAAAAGGCTTGTAGCATGTTATGATCATGTGGAAAGTAGGAAATTATCTTTGTAGTGCTTGAATTGTATTACAGAAACAGTACCAATGACATGAAATTATTAGCATTGTTTTCAAATTACCTTTATAATACTGTGGTTACAGCATGTGGACAAATGAGTCTTATGAATTTTGACATAGATAATGTTTCCTGTTACAAGCTGAAGCAGGAAGTATCCTTGCTTCTTTTGGAAAGGTGCTAGAATTAGCGTCCTGGGTATGAATTTTGTAACTAAGACTGTTGTAAATAAACTGAAAGTGACAATGCCTAGCATAAGTCTCACATAATCATGTAACTCTAATTACATTTGTGTTACACATATTCAGCAATAATCTTCAGTAGTTGAAAGACAGTTTCAAGTTTAAAAAATAACCTTTTTTTAAACACTATCTGTAGACATCAGCTTACTCTTCACTAAGCTGAGTGGAAACTAAAACACGCTTTCCCTCATTTACCTTTTACACTGTGTGACCAACAATGAGAACTACCTTAGACTTCACTGATAAGTGTAATAAATCTGAATGACTGAAGAAGCACTGTCCAGTCATGTTTGGCCCCAAATGTAACTTAACAAGACTTTATTTAACACAAAACTAGTAGGTATTAGGGATGTTAAATTGCGTGTAATCAGCTAATCAAGTAGTCGATGGAATTTCCAGCCGTGGGAGCTAACTCTGCTGTGGATCTGCCTTTTAAATGTATTAAGAACCGTTAGACTCTTAATACATTTAAAAAGGCAGAGGTGGGAGGGGGGGACTGGGTGTGAGCTGGGAATCAGGTGATTCCGAGCTCCCGCCTGGTCTCAGACGCTGTGCCTCTGCTTTTTAAACATATTAAGAGCCACTATATGTTTAAGAAGCAGATGCACAGCTCAGGGGGAGGGACCAGGAGCCAGCTGAGAATCAGCTGTCCCGGCTTGCTCCCAGTACTCCCAGCTGTGCCTCTGCTTTTTAAATGTATTAAGAGTCTGGTGGCACTATTAAAAAGCAGAAGCACAGTATCTGGGATGGGTGCAAGCTAGGAATCAGCTCATTCCCAGCTCCTGCCTGGTCCCCTGCTATGCCTCTGCCTTCTCTGACCCTCAAAACAGCGCTGGGGGGAACCAGCTTTTAAGCCAGGTCCCCCCAGCACCTGCTCCTGTTCTCCCCCCGCTTTGCTGCCTCTCGCCGACAGAGGCAGCTTGGGCAGGGGGGAGGAGTGACTAATTGAGTCACTACTTGACTACCCGATAAGCATATGCTTATTGGGTAGTCAGCTAGTCACTTACATCCCTAATAGGTATTTGTATGACCCTTTCAAATGTTCTATTTTTACAATTCAGCTTATTTTATTGTAGGAAAAAGTATCTGTTTTGTAAAATCCTTCAAGTAATTGTCTGTTTTGGGAAAAAGGGAGAAGATACAAAGGCTTCAGATTATGAATAATCTGTTAAACATTTTATGTACTTAAACACTGAATCCCTGTGAAAGCCAACAGGAACCTAAAATTGAAAGTTTCCAGTTCTGTACTCAATGGCTTTCTCTAGTTGATCTAACTATGTTTTGTTTTGGGTTATGTTAAGGGGGAATAGCAGAAGCATAGGAAAAACTATAAATTCTTAATACTATTTTTATAATATTAGGTCAGAAATAAAAATAATATTTTAAGCTTGATAGCCCTTTACTCCATATTCAAAAGGAGGAGATTCTCTGCTTGAACTCAAGCTTTATAAGCACCTTAGATCCCCACGTATTTAATACCATACCAGTTAAATATTCCCAAGTGAGACAGATGTCACATACTTAGTGATCGTCAATTTAACATTCCCAATTCGTTTTTTTGTTTTTGCTGGAATGTTAGCTAAAAATGTGTATACCTCTTTGAATGTAAAATCATTTCCTTCTCCCCCTGACTTAACTGGCCTAAAAGTTGTGCAGTAAATGTTGAGGCTCATTTTGGATGAGTTCTCAGTCTCTCTAAACAGCTCTCTACAGCAAGCATTTCTGATGCAGAAGTCAGATCTAAGATTTGTTACTAAGTGAAGTGAAAGACACAGACATCCTACAGACAATCTGTTCTGGATCTTTTCCAAATTAAATGGTATCATAGATAGGGATGTTAACTTTAGTTTAATCAACTAATTGACTAGTCGATGGATTTTCCATCAATTTGTTGATAAGCGGGGAGCCACAATGCCTGGGAGCTAACCCCGCTGTGTCTCTGCCTTTTAAATGTATTAAGAGCCTGTCAGCTATTAATACATTTAAAAAGCAGAGGCATGTCTGGGACTAGGCGTGAGCTGGGAATCAGCTCATTCCCGGTCCCTGCTCCCCCCGTGAAGATGGTCCTGGGGGGAACCATCTTAAGCTGGCTCCCCTCAGCACCGGATCCTGTTCCTCCCCCCCCCCCTTTGCTGCCTCTGATATAGGAAGCAAGGGGGGAGGAAGCGACTAGTTGAGGGAATAGTCGACTATCCTATAAGCTTTTGCTTTTACATCGTTTACATCCCTAATCATAGAAGGGGGGAAAACTAATTTAACAGAGATGGAGCTTAGCTAAAATATGGGGTTCTGTTGATTTTCTTTTAATAGCATGGAGGACATACTTTTAAGCCACTAGCTGAAATTTATGAGCAACACGTCACAAAAGTGAATGAGGAAGTAGCAAAACTTCGAAGGAGACTCATGGAGCTGATCAGTCTAGTGCAAGAAGTGGTAAGAAAATGTTTCCACCCTCATAACTATGCATAAAATTTATAATGCCAATATATTCGAATTATTTGTAGTATAAGAGAAGTAAGAGGTAGTAGAGTTAAAGTAGAACAATTTCCATAGAATGGGTGCCATCATATGAAAGTAAAAATGCTTTGGAATGAGTTATACCGGTATATGGCACCTTTGTACCAATATAACTCTGCCCATGCTAAAGATTGTACACGATCCTTTAAGTGGTATAGTTTTACATGTACAAAACGTACCAGGCCTTAATGATGTAAGCTGAAGGTCTAATATTTCATTGGGGAGATTTTATTGATTTTTATGCAGTTTAGTGTGTGCAAATCTTTTGAAAAGACTGGAAACAAAGCAAAATAGGGCTCCATTTGTTCTGTGTGGACATGTGCTAAAAGGATAGCGTTGCTGGAAGAGAAGGATAATACTCTTGGTCATAATTTTCACTCTTTGTTCTGCTATGTGCTTGCTGGTTAGTTAGCCACCATTCATCCCAGAGACGTCTGAACTTTTGGTGTTCTGTGGTATGGGTATATGGTCGATGATTCAAGAATGAAAGGCACTATATAAACTGTTGTGTGTGCATTCATTTTTCTTTTTCTGCTTATGGATGCTATACCCAATGAAGTACTTGTTCTTTGTCGTATCCTGCATAGATAAAAAAACAACTGGTTCCAAGAGATGGTTTAATTTGTCAAAGCAATTCTGTAATGTTTGACTATGATAAGGAAAGTGTACTGTATTTTTATTTTAACTTTGTCAGCCACTAGAGGGCAACTGCATTCTTTTCTAGTTTAGTATCAGTCATGCTGTGTGTTTTTGCAAAATTTAAAAAAATTGCTTACTATATACCCGGTTAAGAATTCAGTTTTGGATGTTGTCGTGGGGTCGTCCACTCGCTTCCCACCAAGGGGGAGTAGTAGAGTCCTTAGGGCTCTTGAAATTATGCCTCAACACCGCACATCCTGCAATTTCTCTCTAGGCCTAAACCCCTGTAGGGCCTAACTCCAGAAGTCAGTGCTCAATACCCTTCTCGCTGGGGCAGCGCAGCTTAGTAGCTGGAGTCACTAATAAATGCCCTTCTTGCTGGGGCAGTGCAGCCTAATAGCCCAAGTCACTGTACATCAGGTGGAGGCCCCACAGATTGGAGCAGATGGAGGCTAGGGGAACCCGGGCCCTCCCTACTTCACTGGTCCCAGCCCAGGGCCCTGGTAGCAGTGGCATGGGCCCCTGCTCGCTCAGCAGGGAATCCCACCACAACACTCGGAGCTCCTCAGGAAACAATCTCCCAGCCTGGGCTACTTCCTACCATACTCCGGTGGACTCTCTCCGGGTCCTTCCTCCCAGTCTCCTGGCTTCCAGGTCCGGTCTTTCTGGCAGTACCTGCTTCCTCCTCAGCAGCCAGCCAAGACTGAGCCTCTCTCCAGGCTTTTATACCTGGGCTGCAGTCCAAGCCTGCTCTGCGGGGTTAGGGCTTCTTTAGCCAGATGAGCCTAGTTAGGCTCAAATTTCCCAGTGTGGGACCGGTACCCCCCGTCACAGATGTGCACAACATTCTTAGTTTTGATTGTCAATTTTTCTAGGTTATCCAAAAAGAGAAAACACTTTTAGCATATATTCACTTTAATTAGGACTTCTAAATGTATTTCATTAATTGCATAGTAGCAAAACTATAAGGGGGAAGAGAATTATGGGAAATAGTTGAAGTCCTTTTCTGACTTTTAAGTTGCTTATAAGTTTACACAAAGGTGCATTTTCCTAAGCATGTTAAAACAAACTTCTGTTATACACAAAATATATCTTCTTCCTGTGTATTTCCTTATCCTTGTCAAGGGAAAAGCATTCCATTCAAATGGACAGGGTATGATGAGAGGCAGAGATGTGGACAAAAAAGAAAACCTCTGAACTGTCTTTCAGGAGAGGAATGTAGAGGCAGTGCGCAGTGCAAAGGATGAACGAGTTCGGGAAATCAGGAATGCAGTGGAGATGATGATTGCCCGATTAGACACTCAACTGAAGAACAAGCTGATAACACTAATGGGTGGGTATTCACCTTGTTTGATATAAGCGGAAGTATCAGACTGACATTGGAAAAAACTTGCCAGAAGATTTTTAGAAATACAAAACCATGGAAACAGCAATTTCTTGGCTTCAAGTTGAAGACAGAAGACTTCTAAATCAAGTACAGGCAGTCCCCCAGTTACGCGGATCCGACTTATGTCGGATCTGCAATTACGAACGGGGCTTTTCTCGCCCCGGAGGACGCGAGCGGCGGGACGCCCAGATGCGTCGCAGTCCCGCCGCCCGCGT